TTTCCTCAAACTTGCTTTTGCATCTTCAGGAGAGGAAGTGAAGGAAAATCTTCCCAGTGGAATAATGAAAAAACGAAGAAACCCCCCCCCCCCCAAAACTTCAGAGTATACAGGGCATGCAGTATGCAGTCTCCTTCTACTCCACTGTTGTATCCCTTCCTTAAACTTGCTGGCAATTCCCAGCTTCAAAATAACAGCCCAGGAGTTGCTGTGTATTCATTAGGCTTCCTGCACCTTTATAATGGCATAACACCCCGGTCACATCGAGCCCAACTTTGAAATCGTGCGACTTACAGTGAAGTCGCACGATTTCAAAGTCGGGGGACATGCTGATTGTAGGTGCCATTTGCAAGACATCTGATACAGAGGTCTATGCAAATCGCACCAAACGTAGTGCATGTACTACTTTAGAAATCGGTGCGGCTCCAACCAAGTCTGAACCGCGCCGATATGACCGCTCTAATTGTGGACAATAGGCTGCGATTAGGCATGCGATGTGCAAGTCGCATGGCATGCAAATCACATGCCGATTCACATCCAATGTGACGGAAGTGTAAACAGTCATCAGACAGAAGATAGAGAGATACAAAGTAACATTGTTTATAAACATCCATCAGATGGGAGATAGAGAGATACAAAGTAACATTGTTTATAAAACATCCATCAGACGGGAGATAGAGATACAAAGTAACATGGTTTATAAACATCGATCACACAGGAGATAGAGATACAAAGTAACATTGTATATAAACATCCATCAGAATAGAGATAGAGAGATACAAAGTAATATTGTTTATAAACATCCATCAGACGGGAGATAGAGAGATACAAAGTAACATTGTTCATAAACATCGATCACACAGGAGATGGAGAGATACAAAGTAACATGGTTTATAAACAGTGTTACTTTGTATCTATCTCCTGTCTGATGGATGTTTATAAACAATGTTACTTTGTATCTCTATCTCCTGTGTGATCGATGTTTATGAACAAGGTTACTTTGTATCTTTCTATCTCCCGTCTGATCGATGTTTATAAACAATGTTACTTTTATTTATTTCAGGTACTTATATAGTACTGTCAATTTACGCAGTGTTTTTACATATATATTGTACATTCACATCAGTCCCTAACCCTCAAGGGGCGTACTTTGTATCTCTCTATCTCCCGTCTGATGGATGTTTAAACAATGTTACTTTTATATCTATCTCCCGTCTGATGGATGTTTATAAACAATGTTACTTTATATCTATCTCCCGTCTGATGGATGTTTATAAACATCCATCAGACAGGAGATAGATACAAAGTAACTTTGTTTATAAACATCCATTATTATTATTATTATACAGTACTTATATAGCGCCAAAAGGTTTGCTCAGCGCGTTACATTATAGTGGGGGACAGTACATGAGACAATACAGTAACAATACACTACACGAGGGGTTCGAGGGCCCTGCTCTTTCGAGCTTACAATCTAGGAGGGAGGGGATAGTGGTACAGGAGGAAATGGCTGTGGGGGATGGAGTGGTAGGAGGAGTGGAGGAGATCGGCTGTTAGGTGAGGGTGGGGTAGGCTTCCCTGAAGACATGGGTTTTCAGGGTGAGCCTGAAGATGAGGAGGGTAGATGACAGTCTGATGGATTGGGGTAGAGAGTTCCAGAGGATGGGGGAAGTCCTGGAGAAGTCCTGCAGTCGGGCGTGGGAGGTGGAGACCAGGGAGCTAGAAAGTAGGAGATCTTGTGAGAAGCGAAGGGCCACGGGTAGGGTGGTATTTGGGTATCAGGTCGGTGAGGTAGTTTGGGGCAGTGTTATGAATGGCTTTGTACGTCTGTGTTAGTAGTTTGAATTGAATGCGTTGGGCAATCAGAAGCCAGTGGAGGGAATGACAGAGGGGGGTGGAGCCAGTGGAGGGAATGACTGAGGGGGGTGGCAGAAGTGGAGCGGTTGGTAAGGTGGATGAGTCTGGCCGCTGAGTTCAGGATAGACTGAAGCGGGGATAGTCTGTGATGAGGTAGGCCGGTGAGAAGGGAGTTGCAGTAGTCCAGAAGTGAGATAATAAGGGAGTGAATGAGTTGTTTAGTAGTGTCTGGGGTAAGGAACGTACGTATTTTGTAGATGTTGTGGAGGTGGAGCCTGCATGAGTTTGCCAATGATTGGACATGGGGTTGGAAGGACAGGTTTGAGTCTAGAGTGACACCTAGGACTTTGGCTTGCGGGGTGGGATTGATGGTGGCGTTGTTGGTCGTGATGGAGAGGATGGGGGGGGGGGGCACAGGCTGGGGGGAAAACTAGGAGCTCAGACGGGAGATAGAGAGATACAAAGTAACATTGTTTATAAACATCCATCAGACAGGAGATAGAGAGATACAAAGTAACATTGTTTATAAAGATCCATCAGACAGGAGATAGAGAGATACAAAGTAACATTGTTTATAAAGATCCATCAGACGGGAGATCGAGAGATACAAAGTAACATTGTTTATAAAGATCCATCAGACGGGAGATCGAGAGATACAAAGTAACATTGTTTATAAAGATCCATCAGACGGGGGAGATCGAGAGATACAAAGTAACATTGTTTATAAACATCCATCAGACAGGAGATAGAGAGATACAAAGTAACATTGTTTATAAAGATCCATCAGACGGGAGATCGAGAGATACAAAGTAACATTGTTTATAAACATTAATCAGACAAGACAGTGTAGCTATAAAAGCATTACTTTGTATCCTTCTATTTAATATATTTGCAGATAAAGGTTTATTTTACATTTGCGGTTGGGGGGGGGGGCAGAAAAAAAAACTGAAAAAAGAAAAAGGTATTTTAGCTGTGTTTTTACTGCTCACCTTAAAGCGGAACTATACTCACCTTCACTCTAGCACCGTACTGTACCAAAGTTTCCCTTTCCCTTGGCTGGTCCTCTTTCAGGTACCAATCTTTGGCTGTCTTCATTGGCCAGGTAAAAAAGAACGTCACTCGGGCGGGGGGAATATAGGGGAGGTCACTCATCTTGCTGAAACTCTACACTTAGCTGCATGTGCTCGGTGTACAGGGAGGAAAGGCAGGCAAGAAATGAGGCTATGTTCATATTTGTGCATTGTGGGAATGCACGCAAAATCACGCATGTTCCTACAATGAAAAAAAAAAGTGCATCCCCTTGGTACATGCAGCAAGGTCATTCATTCTTAATGGTACCCCAATGCATCTTGGCTGTAATGTCCGTGTGCCACACACGTGTCAATGGGCAGCCAAGGCTTCTGTGCTGAGAACGTGGCTCACTGGGCGCTCCTAGCGCAGTGACTGAGCTGTCATAGACCGACTCCTGATCATGTGATCACTGTGACAGCCAATCACGGTGGTCATGTGATCAGGAAAAGAGTAACAGTCCAGAGTTAGGTAATGAATTAGTGACAAATAAACAGACCCATAGCAGAAATGGAACAATTGCTCTGGTCCAGGCGGGATGTACAGGGGTGAGAGATGAAGTGGTTAACAAAAGGATTTTTTTGCCAGCTGTATCCAAAATGGAAAAAAAAAAGAAAAAAAAAAAAACCAGAAACAAAAACTTTTGGCCATACACACTCTCTAACTATCTCAAAGGCTTGGACTGCAATATTCTGTCACGTGATTCTATGCTGCTATGCAACCTATGAACCACAGGGGGCAGTGCTGGAACCAGGAAAACACACGTCTGCTTTTCCCAGCTATTTATAAGATAAACCATACAACCACTTCCCGTCCACCCTATAGAAGTAATACTGCTACAGGATGGCACAGGTGCGCAAAATCATGTATACATACGCGCAATTTTGCATTTCCAGGTAGGGGGCGCCCATGCCCTACCCGCGCCACTATTCATGGCCTCAACTGTTAATCACCGGGTCCTGGTCAGTGATTACTTGCCGGTACCTGGTGATTGAGGAGCATTATGTAAGCAATACAGATCTCTCCCGTCAGCTCCACACACTGCTTTGTATGGCTCTGCACAGCACAGCCATACAAAGCAGTGTGCTTACAGTGAAGCACACACACAGCAGTCAGGTAACCCTTTGATCAACCTCCATATTAACCCCTTCCTGCCCAGTGCCATTAGTACAGTGTCAGTGCTTTTTATTAGCACTGATCACTGTATTGGTGTCACTGGGGATGTCAGTGTCACCAAGTCAGTTCCCACCGAGTGTCATAATGCCTGCCGCAGACACGCTGTAAGTCACTGATCGCCGCCATTACTAGTAAAAAATAAATCCCAGTCAGGGGCGGACTGACCATTTGGAAACTCGGGCACTGCCCGAGGGCCTGGGGTCAGTAGGGGCCCCATGAGATGCCCCTGGTACCTTTTTCACAGGCTTTTTTGAGTTTGACCAAGGACACAGGGGCCCTATTGCCCGGGGGCCCCATGAGTTGTCAGTCCGCCCCTGATCCCAGTATATGTTCCGCCATTTGTAAATGCTATAACTTTCACGTAAACCAATTAATTTACACATATTGGGATTTTTTTTTAGCAAAGACATGGAGCAGAATACATTCTGCCCCAAATTTATGATGAAATTTGATTTTTTTAATTTTTTTACTGGACATGTTTAATAGCAAAAAGTCAAAAATATTGTTTTTTTCTCAAAATTGTCAAAATTCATAGCGCAAAAAATAAAACCGCACAGGTGATCAAATACCACCAAAATAAAGCTCTATTTGTGGGGAAAAAAGGATGTAAATTTAATCTGGGTGCAGCGTTGCATGACCGTGCAATTGCCAGTTAACGTAAAGCAGCGCCGTAACGCAAAAAAAATGGCATGGTCAGGAAATCCTCTGGAGGGCAAGTGATTAATGTGCCATCCAAACCAAATGATAGGCGCCATCATCAATATAAAATACAAATCACCTGGAGGATATGTTGTGTGCCCCCCAAATCTGAAGTCAGAATATTTCTTTTGGCCTGGCAAGTGCTTTAAATGAGGCATAACCAGTAAATAAATACCCCACCCCTGTCCTATGAAACCTACCATTGTAAGAAGAGATCATGTGTCGCTTTGTGGTCCTCCATGGCTTTGTTAAGGCTTGCCATATGCCCGAAAAAGAAGCTGGTGGGAGCAGAATGAGAAGAGAGTTATACCATCTGCAACATGCTGACATTTACATCATTCTGTAGTTTACCTTTTTTTTTTTTTTTTTTTTTTTACTTCCCAGGTTCTGGGGTCATGACCAGGGGCGGACTGACCATTTGGAAACTCGGGCACTGCCCGAGGGCCCCGGGGTCAGTAGGGGGCCCCATGAGATGCCCCTGGTACCTTTTTCATAGGCTTTTTTGAGTTTGGGCAAGGACACAGGGGCCCCATGATCCCCTATTGCCCGGGGGCCCCATGAGTTGTCAGTCCGCCCCTGGTCATGACAGAGACATCTATTCTCAATATTCCAACTACCATACAACGACAAAAACAAACAACAATAAAAATGGAGGGGGGGGGGGTTAAGAGTAGCCCACCATCCCAGAGCATCAGAGTGCACCGAGCTGGCACCAGCAGCAGAGGAAGCCGGCGGACAAGGGAATCTTCCGGTGGTTGTGGGGGTCTGCGGGCGGGGTGGCTTGGCGGGGGGTGTTTGCCCTCCCCCCTTGTGACGTCATCATGTGCTGCGATTGGCCAAAGCAGTGCACCTGACCTATTTATAGGTAAAGTTGATCCAGGGAATATCCAGGGAATATCTGATTGCCTCTCGGGGGATCAGGAAGGAATTTTTTCCCAGCAGGAGCAAATTGGATCGTGCTTTACTGGGGTTTTTTTTTGCCTGCCTCTGGATCAACTTTGGGTGTAGGATTAGAACTTTTATTCACCACTGGGATTTATCTTTTTTTTTTTTGCTATATAAATGAAAATGGTCCAAAAATTTTCAAAAAAAGTGCTTTTCTTAAAAAATTTTGCAAATAAATAATCTTTCTTCATAAATCTTGGCCAAAATGTATTCAATTATCTTTAGTAGAAAAAAAATAACCCAAATTAGTTTATAACCAAAAATTATAATTTTTCAAATTTTGTTTTTACATTTTTATTTTATTTATGTTTTTTTAACATACTGTCACCCTAGCAGTACAGTGTCACCATTGCTTTTACACCCATAAAGGCTGTAAAAGCAATCATTTCTCTTTCTCTCTGCCTGCATTCTTGCAGCCATTGAGATATACTGTGAGAGCTGTGATTGGTCACAGCTTGTCACATGGTACAAGTCTGTTGTGAATAGCCTTGTACCATGTGACCTCTGTGATCATTCACAGATTTCACACGTAGTAAGCAATGATGTCAGAAGTGACATCTTGCTTACTACTATTCATGTGATGACATGATCGGGACCTCACACAGAGGTCCCGTACAACGATTGGTGTCCCATGGAGTGCGCACAAGCAGGGAGCAGGGAGGATGTTTATAAATGGCCACCCACCCCTGCACTGCTCCTGTCCGGCCGTTTATATACATGGGCCAGATGGGTAGTGGTCTAAAAACAACAAAACAAAAAACCTACTTATTTGCAGTCATAGGACTCTCCATGGTGAAACCAATGATCCAATGTTGCAGTGCACTCCCTCCACCACCTACCCTTTGTTGTGACATCATCATGCCAGCTCTGGAATGAGGACAGCCAATGGAAGGTGCACCATCAAGAGCAGTGTGCACCCCGAAGTTTGCATTACCAGCATTTGCCCTGGGTGTCACCTACCTTGATTGGTGGGTGAATTGATGAGAGGGCTTCCCTTGCGGCTGAGGTCTGAGCACCCCTGAATATGGTGACAGAGGTACAAGGCTCAAAGATGCATGGGTGCCGGTAGCTTAATAGGAGATAACTGCCATTGTTAAAGGATGTAGTCAGGTGAGCTAGGGTCATACACAGCGAAACAGCAGCGTGGTCAGGAAGCAGGCCGGGGTCAGTACCAGGGAAGCAGGCACAGCAAAGTCCAGAAGCAAGCTAAGGTCAGTACTAGGAGATCAGGCAGAGGCAAGCCGAGGTCAGAATCCAGAATCCACAGAGCAAGGTCAGGACAAGCCGGGTCAGCAACAGAAGATCAGTCAACAGAAACAGAAACACAGGCACATGGATCACGGGGAGCCTTCTTTAACTACTTGCCTACCGGGCACTTTTACCCCCTTCCTGCCCAGGCCAATTTTCAAAATTCAGCGCTGTAGCACTTTGAATGACAATTGTGCGGTCATGCAACACTGCACCCCTATGAAATTGTTATAATACTGATGAGCACTGATAGGCTGTACTGATAAGGTGGCACTGATGATGCGACACTAATATGCAGCTATGATGGGCACTGATAGGCTGTACTGATGAGGTGGCACTGATGATGTGACACTGATATGCAGCAATGATGGGCAGTGATAGGCTGTACTGATGAGGTGGCACTGATGATGCGACACTAATATGCGGCAATGATGGGCACTGATAGGCTGTACTGATGAGGTGGCACTGATGATGCGACACTGATATGCAACAATGATGGGCAGTGATAGGCTGTACTGATGAGGTGGCACTGATGATGCGACACTAATATGCGGCAATGATGGGCACTGATAGGCTGTACTGATGAGGTGGCACTGATGATGTGACACTGATATGCAACAATGATGGGCAGTGATAGGCTGTACTGATGAGGTGGCATTGATATGTAGCACTGATGGGCGAAACTGACAGACGGTGCTGACTGACAGCAGTGCTGGGCACAACTGCTGGGCACTGATAATCAGTGCTGATCAGTTTTATGACCATTGCCGGTTAACGGCAGTACTTTCCTCACGCTTACTCCCACTTGTACCGGGACATATTCTACTCCCAACTGGCCACAGTCCGAGCTAAAGTCTAAGGTCCCTTTCAGATGGGGAGGATCCATCAGCATGATTCGCCTGCTCAGCATGGGAACTCTCTGCTAATCCCCACTGAGCAGGCAGATAAGAGGTCTCTGCTGCTGTAGAGCGGACACAGACACTGCCTGTTGGTTTCAAAGGCACAGTTGGATGGAAACAGACCGAATGTCCGTTTCCACCAAATTGTCATTCGATTCAATCCACTGGATGGATGGGGAACAGATCCCCATCCATCTGTTTTTTGCGCACAGGCGTAGATTGGATACCAGCAGGTGTCAGCAGAATATTGTCTGCCGACACCCACCGATTCATAGAAGTCTATGGATGGACCAATCGGGTCACCCTGAAAAATGGACAGGCGGACCCCATTGGTCCGCTCGTGTGAAAATGGCCTAAAGGACAGTAAGCTAGCCCTTTCTTTAAAAAGTTCGGCAGACAATATTCTGCTGACACCCGCTGGTATCCAATCTACTCCTGCACGCAAAAAACAGATGGATGGGGATCTGTTCCCCATCCATCCAGTGGATTGGATCGAATGACAATTTGGTGGAAACAGACATTCGGTCGTGTGAAAGTGGCCTAAAGGACAGTAAGCTAGCCCTTTCTTTAAAAAGTTCGGCAGACAATATTCTGCTGACACCCGCTGGTATCCAATCTACTCCTGTACGCAAAAAAACAGATGGATGGGGATCTGTTCCCCATCCAGTGGATTGGATCGAATGACAATTTAGTGGAAACGGACATTCGGTCTGTTTCCATCCAACTGTGCCTTTGAAACCAACAGGCAGTGTCTGTGTCCGCTCTACAGCAGCAGAGACCTGTCATCTGCCTGCTCAGTGGGGATTAGCAGAGAGTTCCCATGCTGAGCAGGCGGATCATGCTGATGGATCCTCCCCATCTGAAAGGGACCTTAGACTTTAGGTCGGACTGTGGCCAGTTGGGAGTAGAATATGTCCCGGTACAAGTGGGAGTAAGCGTGAGGAAAGACTCCCTGACTTAGATCAAACCCTGATCTAGCCATTTTACTTTTATTTTTATTGACACTTATATAAGGATAAAGGTGATCCTTACTATATCTTACATCATAGTAATATATTATAATAACAAGAGTGTTTAAATTAGTTAATATATATATACATTAAGGTTTATTATATTAGACATGGCTATTATTGCTAGCATATTTCAAGAAGTGAATATATTGTACTCCATTAGCAGCTAAAATGGCTCCTGCAGCTAAAATGGCTTATTAAAAGATATTTTATATACAGTAAGTTGTTAAAAACTGCCGAGTAATGATGAATGTTTGATAAAATGTCTCGATAAGATATTCTGAAATGTGGTAGACAAATATTCTGCAGTGTAACTGGTAAGCATAAAGGTGGGCAGTGAGCCATGAACAACCCTATAAAAGTATGGACTGTAATCAATCTAATCAGAGCAGCCATGGGCAGGGCATGGGTGCTCTCATACAATTGTATGATCGCTAATAAACATATCATTCGGAACTCTCGTTCTGCAAGGTCGTTTATTTCAGGTATAAAGCCGTGAAATTCCTAATCATTATTGGTGCCGTTGACATCGCTGAACCCAGGATCTCTGCAGCCTGCGCACATCTCAACTCTCAACAGAGACAAGCCAGGCCTGACAGGTGAGCTTATTTCTCACATAAAAACTTGTCTGTGATTGAGAAATGCAGAGGATGCAAGTGATCCAGCTGCTAAGCACATGTTTAAAAGAACCCAGATGAGAGTGTACATAGTATTGTAATTGAGTGTCTTGTCCTTTTTGTTGCTATTCTCTAACTAACCTTGCTGAAGTGTGGATGGGTTCCAGGTATAGTCTCTGAATTAGCAGGGATTATAAACCTTTATGGGCAGAAGAACGATCATTGCTATTTCAGCTGGTGACTGCAACAGAGGGGCTATGTGTGTGTGAATGATTGTGGGTAAGCTGTGGTTGAGGTAAAGCAATCCCCCTACTGAGCATTTGTCAGAGAGAGAAAGACACATACACATGTAAATATATAGAATGCAGAGTACTAAAAAAAAAGAAAAACAAAAAAATTGCTCTCAAACTGTCAGCCCTTATTCCTTTCACGGTCTCAGTCGACTTTATGCCGGCCATAGACGGGTCAAAAATCAGCCAATTTTCTCACCGTTAGCGGGTTAATTGGTCGGCCGTTTTTCGGGGTTTTGGCACATTTTTTTTTTTATCGGTAAAGTTGGAAA